TAATTACTTTTCATTTTATCGAATAATATATGTGTGCATTTTTATTTCCATTATGATTCAACATATACTCTCTCTCTCTCTTTCTCTATACATATATATATATATATCCATAAATAAAAAATTAATTTTTTTCTTAAAAATATACATGTTTGTTAATCCAAGTCCTTGCCTATAGCTGTAAAATTCAACTTGATTGGTCAAATCAATTTAAAATTAAAGAACATAAGAAATTGTTTGAAACAAGGTCGTTTTACTTTTGAAACTTAACATACAACTAAATCCTGAAACGGTTGTGTGTGCGAGTGATTTGACTATCGACTGAATGTCCAGTTGTTTTGGTGTTATACATTGGTTTATAGTCTGCAACGAGGCCAGTATCTATCAGTTGAAAAGGACGAGTTGATATGCGTATGTTAATATTAGCGTTAATCTCATTGTGTACAAAGGTATGGTAGTCAGTGTGACAGTTTTTGACATAACTACATCTACTCTCTAAAAAAAGTGTCATAAGAAACTCTTTATAGTTTCGGAGAGGATGCCAAACCTTTTATGATTTCATTCGCCTAAAACTGAAGTATCAATGTTTCTAGATAATTTAAGAAACGATGTCGAATAAAAAATGGTTTCATATGCTTGAAAGAGTTGTGTCTCGCATCCTTTTTTCACGATTGAACTTCTTTTACAAAGATGGTTGTATTGTAAACCATCTAAACTAACGCAGGTGATTTTTTTCAACGAGATTTAATTAGCAGAATTCTCGAATAATCTTACGAATCCAATAATAATAATAAAAAAGTCGGTGTCAGACGCCATTTAATTCGGTAATAATAGCGGTTAACAACTACTTAGAAGCTTATATAAGCATTAGATTTGTTCTGTTCATGATCCCAAGGGAAATATTTCGGTAAGGAAAAATTTATTTTGTGAGCATAACGCCTTTTCATAAAACTTGATTGACAGAATTATTGATCCTTTGCATACTAAAAATGTAGTATTGAAAAAAAATAATCAATAGTGGAGCACAAATGACATCAACTGAAGCTGAAAAAGTTAGACATCCGATATCACCGAAACAAAGAGAACTATCATTGGATGTGTTGTGATCTTATGTGCTGATTATAATGATACTCATATTAAAAAACGTGAGTGAGTATTTTGCCAATAACTTTTGATAAAAACAGGATAAATCGCTGTACTTTTCACCATTTGAAAGAGTAGATGAAGGGTGTCAATCAACCTTTTTAAGAATAAACCTGTGTAGTGAGTTGTTTAGAGCGAATTTTTAGTTATCAAGTATAAATTCAAACCACTAATCGAAGATCTACAAAGTGTGGAAGATTGAGATGCATAGGATGAAGTGTAGTCGAGTCTCCGGTACAATTTTCCAGCAAAGTCTGTGAAAAAAGCTCACTTTTGTGCTTTTTTCCTTTTATCATAAAAAAAAAACATTTTTGCAACAGTTAGAAAATTGAATCGAAATACTTCAGAAATCAATATTAGAAAAATCTATAACATATGATTGGATGCATCTTCATCTCCTCTTTCGAGCAGTGAAAACTACACTTCTCTCTGATGTATCCATCAACAGTTATTCAAAAAATATCCACTAGCATATCATGTACCTGATGTCACATGCAAACAAAATAGATCTTATCGAAATCTTATTATTATGACATTAGTTAAAGTATGATCAAATAGCATAAAAAAATAGAGCATTCTTTTCTTTATCAGACTAAATACAGAGAAAGTCGCTTTAAACTTTTTATAAGAAGTAGAAGTATTACTGTGACTACTATTGGATTGCCCTAAGTAGATGCATTATTAGGAGCAATCTTTAACAGTAATTACGAACTTGATATTTGTTTCAAAATGCAAAACCTGAATTCTAGCACCGAAAATTAGGTTTTATATTTCTCAAAAAACCTATTTTGAATTTTTGAACTAATTATTCTTTAACATACTGAATGACATATATCATCCAATGCAGAATTTAACTTTCTACAAGATAGTCTATTTGTTTTTCATTTACATCGCTGAACACAACTTATACATTCTTGTACAATTAATGAGATACATATATGAATATAGAAGCTTGAATGTTGCATAGAACGATTAGATATATAGAAAAGATCAATATTAACGAAAAATCAAATAGTTGTAAGCACTTGATGTACCTTCAACTTGGTCGAAAAATAACTGCATAATACCGTTAGGTTTGTTTTTTTGCATTTTTGTCAAACAAGAGAACATCCTCACGTGGTAAGCTACTTTTGAGCTGAAATTTGATATATAAATAGGATATCGCTAGATTAAAAAAAATCCTAAGAAGATATGAACGTAAATGGTGATTTGGGTGTGGGTATGTGCATATGGATGAAGGGAAAACGAGCAGTCACAGCTGCAGCTTCATCTACATCGACATACCCACTCACACCCGCACTCCCACACCCCCACATTTTATAGAGTAGATTCTCATCTATAAGTTGATATATAATTAAAGATCTCAACTTTAAATTTCAAATAGTAATAGTGAAAATACAAAAATCCTTCGTTCAAACTAATTTTTTGAACTTATTAAAAATTATTTCACTAGTTCAAACAAAATTTCTAAGCCTATATTCGAAAAGAAAACGAAATTCTGGTCATAACTCATAATTTTTGACTCGTCGAAAATACTTTCTAGTAAGTCAAAAGTAAACAAACATTTTTGTCTAAAAACTTTCCAATCACTCGCCATTTGAAAAATCTTCAATAAGTTGAAGTCTTTGTGTTTACTTAATGTAAGAGTATGCATCTAATAAACATTTAACTTGTTTATATATGAACAAGTTATTTTATAATCGGACAACAAAACTATGAAGATCTTTTTCATTAATTACTGATATATATATATATGTTTGGTAAAATAAAAAATAACCTATAAATACATATACTTATTAAACCATCATTAATCATTTGATCCGAAATAGCTTAGATAAATGACAACGCCAACGTTGTAATTACGTCAACTAGTATATCTGCGATATGACACATATATTACATTAAAACTTCTTCAAGGACTCTATATTACTCATATCTTTTTCTCTCATTTGTTAGTCATAGATCAATATTGTTATTTTTATATTAATGTATGTAGTATTCCTATGTAAATGTTGATGAGTAAAAATAAAAGTGATAATAAAAAAAAATGTGCAATAAGATAAAACAAATAAAGAAAAAATTGATTATAGATAGAGAATTATATTCGTCGATAATAAAATTCAATTCCATTAAAGAAGAATCATATAAAATTAAAAATCATTACGTGAAGATAAATAACAGCAACATTGTGAATATATCTATTAATTATATATGCTCGTTCAATTCATTATTATTTTCTTGTTTTGATGAATCAATTTGAAGGAATCAATATACTTTGTATAGTTCTATATATAATATTTTTTATTTCATTTTCTTAGTTGTTTTTTTCCGTATTACGCATATTATCAAATCGATCTATTCAACAGAGGATATATTCTCATAGGAGATTTATTTCCTGAATATAATCAACAAGATCTCAACTGTCAAAATTAGAAATATTCAATAACAACAATTTGAAATTAAGATCTTTGATCTGACATTTTATCGTTATTATCTATTTCCTTATTTCAACAAAGTAACATTTGTTCTGTAATCTTAATTGCATATATTCATATATCTTAGAATTGAAAGCTGTTAGCTAAAAACAAAAAACCTTCTTGACATTTTTTACGCCTGCTATCTTATCACGTTATGTCTAGGATAATAATCGTCATAAACTGAGAAAGAACACACAACATGTTTTGCGTTCTCAATAAAACAAATATCCACACGTTTTATACTTATTGCACTCGTTTCGATGACGAACTCGTTATGTCTCTCTACATATGGTGTTATTTTGTATCTTTACAAGAATAAGAGAGAGAGAGAGAGAGAGAGTGAATCTATTTTTCTTTTCTTTAATTCCTAACTAGCATACAAATATTGCACTCTTTATTACACATTTAAATTGAGTTGCTCGAAATCGAACGATTCATTGTTTTTTTTTTTACTTCAATTGAAGAGAAAAAAATTGATCGAATTAGTTTTTCATATTCTAGATTAATTTATTTTATACATTGCTAAAAATAATCATGGCTTTGCTTCGAAGTTTTCCATTTATTGGTGCAATTATTGCTATAATTGCTATTGTATTATCAATTATTGGTATTACAACTAGTTATTGGTTCTCAACTGATCTAAATACCCATTCAGGTAAATGATTTAAAGTGAAATTAATATTTTAATTCGAAAAAAAACAACATTTTCTATTAGGTCTTTGGAAAAGTTGTGTAGCTGGTATTTGTGTACAAACCGATGCTGGACGAGCAGCAATTTTGGCTATTGCGGTATACATAAAAACCTTGTATTATTTTCGATTTGATATTTTGTTTTAGGCCTTAATTGCCATTGTTCTTGCAGCTATTTTGGCTATATTCAGTGGTTTATCAAGAAATAAATCCGATGCAAGCAATAGTTTAGCACGTCTTTGTGGTATTCTATCCGTTATATTACTTTTTTCAAGTGGTATTCTCATTGCTCTATCACTTTATACGTATATCGGTGCTAAATATACTACAGGATATTCATTTACTCTTATGGCTATTGCCCAATTTTTAAGTTTTCTTGCTGCTATGCTTATTGCTCATTGGATGGTAAGTAATGAATAATTAGATGAAAATTAATATATGAATTTATTTTGTTTTATTCTAGGGACATTCATTTACTGTCATTGTTTAAATGAATGAATTTTATTTGTAAATTTATAAGCTTGAAATTATGATAGTTTATAATGAAATCTTATAGTGTTTTTGTTTTGTTTGAACAAAACCTTATTTGTTTTATTTTCCTATTTCTTCTTCTTCTTTCTTAATTATTATATTTAATTCAGCTGTAATACATGTTTCGCTTTTTGTGTTTTTTTCTCATTGTAAATGTCTTATGTATTGAAGTTTTATTTCGAATAAAATGAATTTTTATGAGTAAATAAAAAATTTAATATTGTTGAGAAAGAACAGAAAAACAAAAGATTAATGTAATTGAATGAATAAATTTATTAAACTTCCCCTATAAGAAAAAGATCCAAGGTTTGTAGCATGGGTTATTGAGAAACATTACTCATTTTAGGAGTTTACATAAAAATAAAAGTAGTAGAGTCTATCATATCCAATATGCTTGAATTAAATCCGATAAAATTTTTATAATAGTATTTTTGAAAAGTGAATTCAGGATGCATCTTAACTGTAGAGCGATGACTGTTATTATTCATTAGATAGAATGTTTTTCAACCTAGAAGATGGTTTGTTTTTTAGTTAATTGCCAGTTGTCTATTGACAGATCTAATCATATTCTGACGTCTTTGGGGAGAAGTTTTACAGTATAATGGCAAAGAAATACAGAAAGACATGTGATGAAAACTCTGCGTAGTAAAATAAACGTTTCGGTCGATGAGTGTAGTGTTTTACGCAGATTTTCTATTTTGGAGAGACGATTTAAAGCTTCGGAAAGGCCAACATCTATTTTTAGAATAACAAAAATATACTTAAACCTAATCAAAAGTTCTTATAACATTATATAAAAATAAAGAGATATTTTTAATTTTATTTTATGAAACGATCAAAATAGTCGCCATAATTATTTATATACAAAGTTCTATCTTTTCAAGTAATTTATCAAATGTTCTTTTTTTTTCAGACTGTTCTTCTGGAATATTTTTAACTATTTCAAAATTCCTACAAGCCAATGAGTTTCTATTTATTTAGTCGATTAAATTATGCTTGAGATAATCATTTAGTTAAAAGTTACATGGTACAACATCTGGTGAAAATGGCGAATGCGACAATATGTTGATATCTTATTGTGTTAAATAATTAATAACATCTGGTTGAATATGAGATCGAGCTTTGTCATGAAGTAATTTTATATCTTTTGCACCTGATGACTATCTTTGTTTCCATATTTCATTGACGACAGGCTCGTAGCAATATTTAATATAATAGTTGTGATCTGTTATCTTGCCTTTATCTACATTGTGTACAAAAGCAGGATTATTTTATCTAAAGAACATATGTTTAACATTATGTGACTTTTCTCAGCTTTAGAGAATTGTGGATAATTCGTTTTAATGTACTATTAGACAGAGAAGTCTCAATTATAATATCATCATTCGCTGAATGTGGATCATTGTTTGATAATCTATCGTATTAGTTCAATATTTACATCTGTCAACTCGGAAATTGGACGATTAGATCAAGAATCATTATTGACATCTTTTCTTTCTTCATTAAAATACTTTGCAACTGAAACTTCTAAATGTTAATTGGTTTATAAAATCGTCAGCAACGCTATCAGAACTTTCGATTAGATCTAACTAATTAGTATGTGGAATAATAACCACAAAGTCTGGTAGGACCAACTTGATATTCAAAATGGCGTCACTTTCATACTAGATAAAATACTGAATGAATTTTTCTAAGTAACTTTATCATGTTTCATACTAGAGCTCTGTAAGAATTTGGAAATTAGCCGTACTTATTTTCTAGAGTTGATGATAAGAATCTGTTTTGTAGAAGAACTCCTACAAAAACAAAATGGTTTGTTTTCAAAGGTCATTCAAGATGAAGAATGTTCTATTTTTTTTTTGATGAATTCATAGAATTCAATGAGTGATAGGCATCGACAATTTATTCGTTTGAGTAAATGTCAATCGGTTTCATTTGTATGTGAATCATAATAATTTTCGGTAGCTCATGTCTCTTCCATTCACAAGAAAAAACTTGACAATTTTTCGTATGATTATATACACAGGATGTTTCAAAAATCCACTCAGAGAAACGAACATCAATAGTTCAAGCGATTTAAGCTTTATTTCATATAGCTTTATATATGCAGTAGCTATTCAGAATGATTAGATTCAATTGAAATTTTTCAATTCATTTTTTCTAAACGTTTATAAAATATTTTCTAGAGTTTATTTTAAAATCATTTTGATATTCTTATTGATTCTCATTTTCATCTCAATGTGATCTTTAATGAGCATCATGCAACCAAAGTGTCTTGAGAGTGTTTGTTTTGCAATCGAAGAGCAAAAACACCAGAGAATGCTGTAACTCCGCTGGAGAATAAACGAAAATTTTTCAAGATTGTCAAATCATTCCTTCTACGCTCGGAACACCTTGTGTATTGAAAACATTATTTTTAAACTTCGATTTATTGACTATTTGATTACAATAAAAGTTGCTACATTTGAGACAAAAAGCATTTAACGTAAAATTTTTTTTCATAATTGCATCATCGTGGTTTCTAATATGGAACAAACTTATGAAATAGATTGAATATTTCATCTGAATACATATGTTCAACAACATGATGAATTTCATCAACATTTTGTTTTCAATAGTTATTTTAGATCTTTCCGAACACGACTGAATTTCTATCTTAGCAAATCTACATAACTCTTATACATTTGTCATTTGTACTTGCTTTATCGCACCCGATTGACAGTTTGGATTTTTGCAATTGCAGAAAACTTGAACTTAATCATCAGTACAATTGATCTGGTTATCTCTTTGATAGGCACAGATATGCTATCAAAAATAGATTCTATAAAATTTTGAAGAGTCGATTATGTAGCCGTTTTAAAAAAACAAACTGTACAAATATCTGAGTTGTTGAAGAGATATTGAAGTTCTTCCGATCGGACTTGAGAAAGATACTGTACTTTCTTCAATAAAATATTCTAAATAATTTCATTAGTTTGTTTTTGTGAAACATAATCGAAAAAAGAGTGTTGAAATGTAGTGGTAAAAACTTGTACTTACTTCCTTCCACACAGACCATGGCAGATTAAAGTTGAGCACAGGACAGTGCGGTCCTAGTGTCCTGCATGTTCTATCCTATAGGATAGGACAAAGCTATAAATACTATCCTATGCTGTGTTCATCTCTGTGACAGACACACTCCGAACTCATCATAGATTGTGACAGACATTGCTGACATACTATCAAAACCGTATATTAATAACGCCTCTTTAAATTATATATGAACTACTTCGTTATTGTATTTCTAGAGGATTAAGTGAAAAGATGGTCAAGAAATGTTTCCCAAAATTAATAGAATCAAACCATCTTCCTGTAATTAGTAACAATAACTACATTGTGTTTCGTATTATTATGTCACAGCATTATGCTAACAGCTATTTTATTCAAATAAAAATAAGTCACTTATCAAAAGAAAAGAAAATATTAACAATAAATCCAATCAGGATGTTTTTTTGGTCTACATTTGATTGGACAAGGTATTCGAGTTTCATTAAAATGAACATTTACGACATTGTTACAACATGGTCTTATACATCCAAGAAAACATCCATGCATCGGTCGCTGAGAAAGAAATGGTCGACCACCAAGACTTTCACAAAAATAACTATCAAATATTAAAGAATTATTTTTAACACGATCACCAACATAATCGTTTAGAAACGTCTGATCCCCAATACCATGATAATACTTAACTATTGATGGTATAAGCATCGGTTGAAAAATATTAATTAAAGTATGACGAGCACGTACTAAAGCTGCACCCCAAAGTCCACCTAATATAAATGAACTATGTTCAATATTATCACGTGCAATATAGAAAAAGTTTTTTTTTTGTTTCTTTGATAACCACATATTAATTGTTTCTGTTTCACGTCGAATTATTGGTGAATCAAGATCACGTGATATTAAATAATCAACGTACGGGTCAAATATTGGTAAAAATCGCCACATTTTACTAGGTAGAAATTTATGTAAAGACGAACCAAACATAGGAATATTATTCATATCACATATATCAACATTTAAAAAATTATAAAAATATTCTTGTTCAGATGTAGTACTACCAGTAAAATCAATATAAACACGTAGAATCCATTGTGGAAGTAATGTACTAATTTCATCAACAAGAAGTTCAAAAAATGGTATAATATTTGTTTCCCATGAATACATTGGATTATTAGTAAATTTTGATTGTTTTCCATAAACTGAAATAGCAATTACTTTTTGATGTGGTCCACGATGATGTGATGTATGACTACATAATGTTAAATTCCATTGAGAGAAATTTCCATAGATTTTATTGAATTTTTCTTCAATAAATTGTTTCGATGGTTTTTCATATTTAATATTAGGTGTTCTAAAATATTGTTTTCCACTATGGATAAAGACAAATGAAGAAGGTATAGAAACCATTAAAAATCCAATTATAAAAACAATTATGTGAAGGCCACATTGATGTAAAGTATATGCTCGATGTTGATACTTACTGATCATGTTTTTCTTAGTATGCAGTCCTTACCTCCTTTTGGCAATTTATGATATACAAGAAACTATTGAAATGTGACAATCATCTATCATGTTTGCTTGTCTAGTAATTAAACCTTCGGGGCACATATATGTAAACACAGAATTCGTACAGTGACACTATCGAATGATAACTAAAAATGGAAACAATTTTTTCGAGTTTAATGAAAGTTATTCATTCGAATATATGAATCGTCATTTTTTTTTCTTGCCTGCGAATATGAAAACTGAGGATATGCATTGTTCGCTTCGTATGAGAAATCTATTTGATTGTTTGTATATATGAAATAGATGTTTTTGAAAAAAATCATCAATTTTATAGTATGATTAATTACTATTTATATATATCTGTAACTGATACTTTGCAATATTTCCAATTAACTTCGATCGATATTGTATTAACTTGAATTTACTAGCAATACTATCGAAAAAAAAACGAAGATTTATTGAGCAGTCTCTTTTACTCGCTCAAATTATAATCACAATTACACGATGTCGTCATGGTTGAATGTCTATGTTGTTCGACAAGTATGTTCAAATCTTACTACCACTATTCTTTGAATGATCCTGGACAAGTCATTACCGGTTGTTCATCTCAAATCATATATGCAATAACATGTTGACTACATTGTGATGTATGCCTGCTCTTGTAGTTACAATATGGTTAATTGCTATGAAAATAATTATTAATTTTTTTATGGCACATCTATTTCGTTGTTAAGTTTTGTATACCTTGACTATATTCAATATATTTTTTCAGTTATTTGTTTTTTGCTCTTTCTATTATATATCCCCCTGGCCAAAATAAATGACACACCTTGTTTTTGCGATAACTTCTCTTTACCATTGTTTTTTGGTCTCATATTTATACCACAGATACATCTTTGATTACTTAACATACGCTGAAAATTTCAGCCTTATAGAATGAGGATTGATTCAGAAAAGTAGAAATATATTTCATGCAATCATGCAGGAGTGAAACGGATATTTGCTGTCATCTTGCTTAATTCTGTTTTATTTCTGTTTTCGGTAATATCAAACTTCAATGAATGAATTCAGTCCTGTAGGTTTTTCCTAAACGGCTTGTAAAAGAATCTATCCAAAAAGCTTGTAAAAATGTAAACAAAAATGAGAAAACCTAATTTATGCACCAAAAGTTGATGCTATTGAACAGAGAAAAAAAACGAAATTTGACAAGAAAACAGAAAATTTCCGTTTCACTGCTACATGAGTACATGAAACATATTTCTACTTTTCTGAATCAATCCTCATTCTATAAGGCTGAAATTTTCAGCGTATGTTAAGTAATCAAAGATGTATCTGTGGTATAAATATGAGACCAAAAGACAATGGTAAAGAGAAGTTATCGCAAACATAAGGTGTGTCATTTATTTTGGCCAGGAAGATATATCATTTTTTTTCACCAACAAATATTTCATTTACTGATATTAATAGTCTCAATCAAAATCAATTACAGTAATAAAATTTAGTGCTATCTATTTTATAAGTTTTTTTGTAGTTTTATCATACGTTGTAAGGTAATCTATAAAAGTTCACTTCTATATTATGCTACAAATAGCAAAGTTTTTGATGCGATTGTGTGCGATATAACTGGAGAAATAAAAATTGTTGCTTTCAATGAAGAAGCCGATCGTTTTAACAATTTAATGAAGACAAATGCGGTAATGGTACTTTAAATAGTTATCTAAAAAAAAATCTTCTTTTCAGCCGATAACTATTCAAAATGGAGAAACACGAATAGCTAATCATAATTTTTCTTCACCATATTCAATCTATGAAATTCGATTACTACCTAGTACAATTATTGACACATAAGAATCGGTCACGTTCAATCCTCTCATATCAATAAAAAACCAAAGGATTTACAATGCTTTTAATATCTTACATGATTCATATGTCGGTATGCAAAATCAGTGCATATGCTTAATAGTCTAATACTAAGATGTGTAACTAATAAACATCATTTGACAACCTACCCTAGAGACTATTGCGATAAATGAAAAAAAAAAGTTCAAACGAAAGTTTCTAATATGACAAAAAAGAATCATGTCATTAGGACCTTATACATATAACAAAAAAAAATAGAATATAAAACCACTTATCAATAACGAAAATAAAATATGCATTTTCGATATAATTTTTTTTGGTCTATATAAAACCAATAATAAACATCGTTTTATTTGTCTGATATAACTCTTTTTTTTATTAATATGAAATAATCAAAATATTTTACTCATATCAGATGTTGAAGGAACAGTTATCATGGATTCAGGAGTCCTAACAACAACTTCACGAACTACTGGCCAACCTCTTAACCGAAGATCTTTAAAAATCAAAGACAATACAGGAGCCATAAACATAACCATATGGAATATTAAAGTAAAACCAATATGAAAATAATATTTTTCGAAATCCGATTTCACGATGATATTCATACGTAGGTTCATGAGATATCAGAACAGATCATGAATAACGCCATACGAATCCGGAATGGCAAAGTAAATCATTATCACGGTAAACTATAGTGAATAAAAAATTCAAAGAGAACCCATATATTATATTTCAAATAGATTACCTCACGATTAATATAGATGAACACAGCATCATACAGTCCTATTGAACAAATACATTTTATCCGAATTACTCGAACGTATAAATCTTTTTACTTTTAGTTATTCAATATTCTTTCCTTACAATTAACCTGCGAATGGATACTACATCTTTATATTTTGAAAAGAAAAATAGATATATTACAACTCACTCAGAGGAGATCATTTTAATCAGTTCTATCAATCATAAAACTCATGACAAAAAACTTAAACAGCCACTAAAACTAATTCGCATCTCATAAACTTATCCAAGTCCAATAAACAGCACTTCGTCATATATGATAATGAAATACCGCTATATAACATACACATTTTAGCCTGGCATCATTAAATTCGCATAACAGTAACGAAATTCTACATCTTCCTCAATCTAATGACAATTTAAATAGAAAATCTAGCGAACTCTACATCTTCCTAAATCTAATGATGGTTTAAATAGAAAATCTAGTGAACCCTACATCTGAAATTTATTATATATTTTCAATTGAAATGATAAAATTTGTAATTTCACTATTTTACATCAATCGCTAGTACAATCAAGTTCAATTGCGTGTAATAATTTATATTTTCAAAATGTAGGTTTAATTTTGTCTAAGTTTCGATTTTGCCTGACGCATATACTTATAGTCACTTAGAAAAGTTCACTTATAAGTACGTTTTTCTGCTTAAAAAATACTATTGAAAGTACTTAATAGTCATTTTTTTGGGTCAACATTTTTACATGGGAGCATTTGTCCTTGGAGCTGTAACCCGCTGGAAAAACATTTTTGGCAACCCTGCAGAATGTATTACATAAAATTATTTTCAACATTTTCTTCTTGAAAAAGAATTTGATTGCACTATTAAATCTCCAAATATCTCTTAACCAAGATATTGGAAAACTCAGTTATTAAAATTAAAGTGATATTTCATTATATCTCGTACTGTGTAGAAATATATGTAAAAAGCAGCTGATTATTACAAAAATTCTAATCATTAAATCGTATTGCAGTCTCGAATAAGATTTATATATTTCTATTGATATTAGTATGACTATTGCTAATTCTAATAATCTATTATTGACATTAAAAAGAAATTTAATGTATGTAGACGAGTCTTACAAGAATTATATCAATACTACCAGCAAATATTTATTTAATATTAAATCGATTCAATCTATTTATTATGATACAATAGTTCTGAACATTATATTACATAATATTTGCATAAAAAAACATATAATAATGGTTTTTTATGGATAATATATCGTCTCACATAATATTATATTCAATAACAGACGATACATAAGAACATCATTACTCTCAGTCTTGATGTATATCATCTTTACCGAGAGTGTCATCATGAATGTCTCTATTGTTATCTTTCGATGACCATTGTTTCACTTTGAAACATTTTTTCGTCAAATTATCATTGAAATTTCGTAATAAATAATGGCCAACAATCATCAGGTAACCAGTTAAAATTACGATTGATCCTAACAGTTGCAGAATGCGTGTATAATTTGGGAACCCATGTCGCCACTTTTTTAACAACTGCGTCGCAGTTACGCGTAGAGCCAATTCTGCGTCGGAGTTGCGCGTAACTGCGGCGCATTGATCGCAGCAAAAAAAATCATATGTTCGACTACGATCGATTGCGACGCAGTTACGCGTAACTGCGAATAAAATATCGCAGTTGCGCGCAGCTACGGTAAAAAATTCGCAGTTACGCGTAGCTGCGCCGCAATTTCCCGCAATTACGGGTCACAGTGCGATCGCAGTTACGCGTAACTGCGTCGCAATTCGATCGCATTCGAACACATGGGAAGCTTGCAATAAACGAAAATGCCGACGAAATTCCTACTATGATAACTAGTAACAGAGACGGATCATACAAGAAATAAAATAAGAAATTATCATATAAAATGGATGAAAGTAATACCAATTTTCCCAATTTTGATGCGAACTCATAGCCTTCACATAAATCGACTCGAGGAAGAGCATCAACTTCCGGATATTCATATAATAATTGTGAACAGTTGAACATAATATATTGAAATATGTTAGATCTATTTCGCTTGAAGAAATCCAAACGAAGCATCAGTTGGTCGACTTTTCTCACGATCTGGTGGTCAAATGTTTAGCCATCTATCTACAAATGAAACAAAAATATGAGAAAAATAAAAACCATGATATAGAAGAGTTTAATTTTTCAGTAGTGTCAAATTTGAAACTTGAATTCAATTATTGAAAAGTTGTTTCAAGTATTCAAGTGTTCAAG